GGAGATGGGCCTAAAATGTGCGAGAATGGAGGGGTCGAGATTTTTCTTTTTAAGTAGTGGCTTAACCACGGCATGTTTGAAGGCAGCTGGGACACATCCTGAGCTAAGAGAGGTGTTTATAAGTAATAAAATACTTGCACCAACTGATTCTAAAACATCTCTGAGAAGGCGAGAGGGAATGCTGTCTGAGGTGCAGTTTGTCGGCCGCAGGTGCTTGACTGCATCCGAGAGAGAAGAGAGGGATAGAGGCTCAAAGTGGTCGAGGACAGCAGGGCACAGAAAAGGAGCAGGATCTGGGGTAGCACTAGTGTGGGCTAGCCTAAGAGCAGATACTTTTTCAATAAAACATTTAAAAAACTTATCACAGAGAGTAGTCGATGGCACAATAGAAGAAACATCACAGGGATTAATGATAGAGTTGAGGACATTAAAAAGAACCTGAGGTTTATGGCTGTTTTTGGAGATTAACTGAGGAATGTGCTCTGTTTTGGCTGCTTTGACTGCCGTCTGGTAGTCAGAAAGGCAAGCACAAGGATTTCTAGGGAGACATGGAGTTTATCCTTTTTCCATTTTCTCTCTGCATGCCTGCAAACGCGTCTGAGAGCACGAGTACAGTCATTGAGCCACGGCTCTGATAGAACTTTGGTGCGTCTAAGCGTAAAAGGAGCAACAGAATCCAGTATTAGTGTACATGTCGAGTCAAACATGGAGATAAGCTCATCAGCATTAAAAACACAGTTCACCTCTAATTTACAGATCGGAGAAGCATTTAAAAACATCAGAAAACTGTGAGGCAGTCAAGGGGTTAATCGAACGCAGACGACGCGCAGGGGCACGTGATTCGACCCCTGCGGAAGGGATCGAGGTTGTAAACAGAACCGGTAAATGGTCTGAGATACGCGTTGCTGCACATATTTCATCCACAGATACAGACAGTCCAAACGATAATACTAAGTCCAAAGTGTGTCCTTTTTCGTGTGTTGGGCCAGCCACGGACTGAACGAGACCAAAAGAATCAAGGAGATTTAAAAAGTCCCTAACCAGAGGTTTGGACTCAACACACATGGACATTGAAGTCTCCGGAGATCAAAACACAATCATATTTCACCATGATCCCGGACAGAAAGTCAGAAAAGTCATTTATGAAATCCTTATTGCACTTTGGCGGACGATACACGACTGCGCAGAGTATAGGCGAGGCCGGGTTCAGTTCAAAAAGCTGCAACTCAAAGCTAGCATAGCTAGTTACATGGTGAAGCAATCGACATTGGAGGCTAGCTCTAAACACTGATGCTATGCCCCCACCATGGCCGGTGGCACGGGGGGAGCTGAAGAATGTACAGTCAGGAGGAAGAAGTTCAGAGAACGGTGTATACTCGCCAGCGTGGACCCAGGTCTCCGTCAGAAACATAAAATCCAGTTCACGAGAGGTGAATAAGTCGTTTAGCAGGAACGTTTTGTTTGCTATCGACCTAGCATTTAGCAAAGCCATGCAAAGTTTTCGCTCCGGGCTTGCCGAAGGTGTAGTGCGTCTCAGCTGACGAAGATGTGCGTGTTGAACGCCGCGCGGGCTGGGAGCAGTCAGTCGGGCAGGAGGAGCTGCCAGCGGGCCCAGCAGAGGCCGCAGCTCCGGAAAAACAGGGCGAATCCATCGATCCCTCACATGGCGTGCAGCGGGAGGGCCATGACATCCGAGGCGTGGATAAGTCCCAGAAGAAGCCGTCAGGTATGCTTTTTGATGGACCAGTGCACCACCACGCTTTCCCCGTCGTCTAAAGCGCTTTCGGCGAGGCAGGATGCAGGGCAACCGGTGCAGGTAGGTGGGTATATCCGACAGTAGAGGGGGGGGACGATTTATGGTTGCCAGATGTAGGTTTGGGCAGCAATATCAACTCCAGTGAGGGTCTGAGGTGGAGGAGAGCTTGGCGATCGTAGACGAGCTGACATTCTGCCAAACATAACATGTCAGAGTAACATTAAGTACAGTCCGCGGCACTGTGAGTGCAGACGTAGATGTGTCCCATTATCATTCATATCATATCACATCATAATGTATCATATATTTCCTTATTTGAGTCAGCTTCTTGAGCCGTATCTGGCCGTGCAACACTCACCGTGTCACATACTGTATGCAGAAGTATTATTTTAAACAACACATTAAGTTGACGAAACACTCGAGTCAAATTCTCCTAATTAAAGTCAGATCCACTCGTGTCTTGGACGGGGCAGTGATTTCATAAACCTGTTAATGTACGCATTCAAACACTTTTTCTTTTACCAGCTGTATTCACCTTGCAGGTGCAGCTATGTGGCTTTTATCCTGGATAAAGTGTTTAAGTCATGGATGTTTAAAGTTTAACTTCTTCATATTTGACTAATATTAAAGTTCACTTTTCATTCAGGAAGTATGACGCTGCGCTGTCAGTACGCTTGTCCGTGTTTGAGATTGGTCGAATGCTCCAAATACCACCCCTTTCATGTGAACGCGCACCTAACTAGATAGGACACGGCTGGCTTGAGCGATCCACTTGATAACCAGCGTCGTAGTACAGTTTAGCGCCAGCGCGTATGTTTTGGCTTAGGCCAACCGGCTAACTCCAACATATCCAGGTTAGGTTGAACCAGCTTCGTAGTACAGGCCTCAGGTCTCCCTTGAAAAAGAGATCGTTGATCTCAATGGGATTTTTCACCTGGTTAAATAAAGGCTACAAACAAACAAACATCTCAAAATTGTACTTAAGTACAGTACTTGAGTAAATGTAAGTTACTTCCCACATCTGGACAAAACTCATTTTGAAAAGGAGAGAATGCCTTTTTAGATAGCTTTCATTTCACATAATAATTATTGTTGAAACAACATTCATGATCAGCTTTGTTTAGTACACGTGCAGCACATTATTCTGTTAAATAAATCCTGTGCACTCAGTCATTGATTGCTAACTGCCCCTATCCCAATTTGATTATAGAGAAGCCTCTGAAACACACACTTGAGAAAGTTCACTGTCTCTGAGGCTAAATGTGATCATGTGCTTCTGAGCTACAGAGACTGACGTGATCAACAACAGGTTGGGTGGAAAGAAAGCAAGTTTGTACTTCTTTCTTCACACATTGAGCTATGCTTTGGTGATTGGACACACATTGACACATATGATGCATGTTGGGTTATTCTGTTAGAGCAGATGACGACAATGGCTCAGCTGCTTATTATCAGTCCAATCATGAGGTGTGACGCTTCATTGAGTGATATGAAAGAATACTGGCACCATCACAGACCTTCACTACCTGACATCTGAGGGATCCTCAGGGCCGTCCCTGGCCAACTTGAGGCCCCACGCAAAGTTAGATGAAGAGGCCCTCTGTTTCGCGAGCGTCAACGGGGACGGGGACGGGGGGTGCTAGTGGAGCCTCGCAGTGGAGACCTCCGTCCGCAAGATGAGGCCCCCTCCGCGAGGTGAGGCCCCCTGCGTGATCTTCCTGTAGGGAGGGACGGCCCTGGGGATCCTTGTAATGTGTAGTGCACAGAGTCACATGCACACAGAGCAGAAGACCTCATGATGTCCCCACACTGTTCTCTCTGTGCTTTTCAAAGTTTCATGCTCAATTTCCTTTAACTTTTCTATTTGGTGCATTTTTTCAAGCTCCCATTCCCTAGTTTTATACATTCCCTAAAAGCGAAGACAACTCTTAATACATTTATTAATAGCCTCTTGCTTGCTTTGTCTACTTGCCAGTGTTAGCTATCCATTTGTGACCTCTTTTGACTTTGAAACAAGACGAGATGCAGACAACAATCCTGTTCTCTGTCACAGAGGCTGAGGAAATGATCCGGCCTACAAATGCAAACGGTGTTAGAATCTGAACCTTCTCTGCTGCCGTACTATGACCTCTCTAATGAAGTAGATGTGGGCTGCTATCAAACTCTTAATTTAGACAAATAATATTATTTAGTCTAATATCATTTCAGGGGAAATGGAGCTTTACGGTAAATGAGTAAATGAAGTTAACATTTACTGAACATCTACCCGTCATCAATAGCAGCATGTGACAGTTTGGCATCATGTTAGAGCTTGGAAGGTTGGTGATGGAAAGGGCACAAGCTATGGCCTAAAGGCTTTTCTGACTATTGACATTTGACTCTGTCTTAAAGGTCACCTATTATGCAAAATCCACTATTTCATGTCTTGTATACATAAACATGTGTCCCCTCTGTGTAAAGAGATTCTGAAGTTTCAGGAAAAAGATTTGCTCACTTTTTGTCCTGATCCATTTATATAAAAACCTGTCTGAAAATGAGCTGATCAGATTTTGGACACTTTATGATGTCATAATGTTTTTTTGGCTTGTGTGACCGTTGGCCAATAACCAACCAAGGTAACCCCCGCCCACCTTATCACCTGAATCTCCTCCTAGAGCACCATTGTGTTCTTTTAACCAAATATCTCTCATAGGAGCGTGGGGAGTGGCTCCTTATTTTCATCTAAAGTAACAGACAGAGAATCAGCCCTTTTGAAACAGGGCTGAAACAGAGGGGTTTATGGGATGCTGCAATGCATGATCTGTTTGGTATTTCGAGCCAGAGACATATTTTTTATATATCTGAGACCTGAAATATATTGATGAAAAATAGTATAATAGGGGACCTTTAAACAACTGTGCAGGCTTTTTTAAGGTTTAAGGAGATAAAAAAATTGAGAAAAAAAGAGCGTGAGTTAAAAAATATGTCTCAATGGCTTAGCCCTACCTAGCAGATGCTGGTTGGTCAGCTGCTGTTTCAGTTGTAATTGGGCTCACATGAGCTGCTGGTGGGAGTCATTTCAGTCAACAAGCGCAGCAGTCTTATGTCTGAACTCTGCTCCTTCATAGCAAACTGCCAACCCCTCCCGCCTCCTCCCGCCTCCCAGCTCTCCCCTTTTAGACTCCCCCGTCCTCTCTTGAAGAGCTCCCTCCCCTCTCGCTAATGTTATTTCACTTTTCTGTTTTGATTTCGGCCCCAGAGGACCACCACCTGAGCCTATAGGGCTGAAGCTGACATGGCTCCAGAAAAGGACAGTAATGGTCTTGACAACTATGCATTTGCAGTGAGTATTACTTACATTTCATTTTGGTATATCCTATAGAAAAATGTATTCAACCCTTAGATGCATAACTGGGTATTTTTTGACCCGGTGAGGTGGTTTTCTTAGAGTATCTTTGTAATTACATTTTTTTTACATTTCATATTTCAGCTATTCCTCAAAAAACATGTTTTGGAGATCATGCCATTCAAATTTTAAATTCAAATTTTAAGAAATTGTAGTTTTTGTATTACTACCCCAAGCTTCCATAAGTGGGTCAAAAATGACCCGCATGCATTTTCTATGGAATTTCGTTTTTTTTTCAAAATGTAAAAAAAATAAATATTAAATATTTCTAGTGTGAACCAAAATATAATACTAAAATTATACAAGTGATTTTTCTTAACCAAAATGACAAAAATGGCATAAAAACACATATTATTCTAATACGGGTCCTTTTTGACCCACTTATGGAAGAGTGTAGGGTCCAGTCACTCGTGCATCTAAGGGTTAAATGCAACACACTTTTAAAGTTCTTAAATGTGTGCTTTTCTACAATAGTGTAAAAATATTAACGTATAGGCTCAGATCAAGGTTAGGTTTTTTTCCTTTTATATGAGTGAATGTGAACACATCTGCAAGTAACAACTAGAGATGTATCTCTCCTCTTATCACTGAACTGGATAATCCACGTGATGTGATGTTTAATACCACATTAGAAACTACATTTTTTTTGATCAGTTAATAATTAACAACAGAAAGAGCAGCTACCAAAGTAGCGTCATGGAGACATGTGAATGTACTTGTTTACATTCTTGCGCCTCCATGCTTAAAATCACATTATTGAAGAGATAAGTGACATGCTGTTTAGTCAGACAAACAGTAGTGTTGAGTCTCAATCTTGATTGTTGTTTTCAAAGCACACTTTTTTGAAAATAAATACATAATAGCTCATCTGACTAGCGTTTTGTTTTATAATCCTACTTTATCATGGATGAAAGAAGGAAAATCAATTTGTAGTGCAAGTCATGAGCTAACCACATTCCCTCATTATAAGTCTATGAGTGTCCTATAGTTATTTGACTATTAAAGCAGCATTTTCTTTGTTGAAATATTGTTTTCATGTTTGTCAAAGTTACAGATTTCCACAATGAAAACCAAAGATATGCAGCCATGATTTCATATATATCTCTAATTCACCCTTCATCTGTGTCTCTATCTGTCAAATTAAAGCGTGAAGGGCGCTTTTGTGATCTACCGGACACACAACATGGAGAAGAATTGGACATGTCCATGGAGTCAGACAACAACAAGCTAGTATACTGCGTAACAGATGTGCCTCCCTGGTACCTGTGCATCATCCTCGGCATCCAGGTACGTCAGCAAAGGGTGATGTTTGACAATGAGTCTCCTCTGACATTTCCTGCCTAAAAGCCTATGTAGCGTAGCTTGTGTTGTTACAATGCAAACATGACCACAGTGTCCCATGAGAGCTTCCGTTGGACGCTACCTTCACGGTTGGTTAGACTTGGTTTTATTTATGTATGTCTGATTGTGAAATTTGCTTCAGATACAGTTGAGATGGTAAAGTCAGTGAGAATTGGTTGTATGTATTTAACAGTGAAGATCAGTGAGTGTTTCCTCTGAAGACCTGACTCAGTTGTATTGCTCCATTTAAACGTTTTCCTTTGTCTACTATTATCTCTTTCACGGCATAAATCACGGGTCCTTCCAAGTGTATCCCAGAGACTTGTTACTTATAGGGATGAACTGATACCGATATCAGGCCAATACTGACTCAAATAGCTTGGTTGGTTTAGAAGCAATTGATAATTTGTACTATGTACATACATAAATAAGTATTCAACCAATCTATTGCTGCATTAAAACATCTATTGAAAGATAATTCCTTTTTTATTTTGTACATCATTAACCAAGTTTCTGGTGTTTAGTAATACATAACCTCATTCAAACCTGTTGAGAAAACAACTTTTAAGTCAAGCCTGATGAGGCCTAAAACAAGTTCATGAAGTAAATGCTGGTATCATATTGGCACTCCATATCTTCCCAAAAATCCTGATTGCCCTTCTACTAGCATTTTGTTTGGATGCAGGTTGAGCCACTACTTTAGGCTGATTGTTTTCCCAGAGGTCACACAACATTTAGTTAATTCCTCCCTCTGTACTTCAAACATAAATGTAGCTTATCTTTTTCTCTGTCTATGTTCCCTCAGCACTGTTTGACGGCGTTTGGAGGAATCATCGCCATTCCGTTAATCCTGTCTCAGGGGTTGTGTCTGCAGTTTGATGGCATCACACAGAGCCACCTCATCAGCACCATCTTCTTCGTCTCCGGTGTTTGCACTCTGTTGCAAGTTACCTTCGGCATCAGGTAAGGCAGTCAATTCAAATAAGTTAAAGAGCAATGTTTATTTATTCTGATGATTAGCATTTACATTTCTCTTTAACATGTATCACTGGCTGGATTGTTCAGTGCACTGCTCTTTTCCATGCTTTGTTGGTGCATGTTTTAAATCCAGCAGTGCAGCACGGTGCATTAAAGTGGAATTAGTCATGCTGCTCCTTCTTATTAAACCAGCAGAACAATCCTTCCTTTTTAACCTCTGTTAAACTGCAGGCCTGCTGAAGTGAGTGGGAAGCCCTAACCATGAACAACACAATACTTTACTCTGTAATTGGGCACAGCTTTTATTTAAGGGATTACCAGAGAGAAAGTACAGCTTTACCTTAAGATCCTTACAAATGGTAAGGTATTTGTAGGTGTGATGAGGAAAACATAAGTCAAAAATGTCTTTGAGCATACAGTGATAATGAGCACAATAAATATTAGGCTAATGGGTCAAGCATTGTGTAAAATAATCTGTGAACAGACAGATACACCCATGCAGACACATTACATGTCACTTGTTAGACGCTTTTATCTAAAGCGACTTAATACTGTGGGCAATCCCCACAGGAGCAATTTGGGGTGAAGTGTCTTGCCCAGGGACACAACGACATGCTGACTGCAGTGGGGTTTGAACCTGTGACCCCCTGATCCAAACACCAACTCACAACCCACTGCACCACACGCCTCCCCTACACCAAACACATGACCAAACACATACCCTTACATATTAAAATACCCTTTTTGTACAATAAATGTTACTTAACAGTGTAATCATGCCACAGCATTTCTATTTAGGTACCAAACAATACTACAAAGTTATATTTTCTGATCAAATACAATGCAATACAATATAAATTGACTACATTTAATACAATTTAATGCAGTAGGAGCTGGACTTCTCCTCTGTTGCATGCTGCAGAGTTTGTTTTGGAGAACGACAAACTTCAACCAGTTCTGATGCTCTGACTTTCACTATGTTTGTGCAGACTGGCTGAATATCGGTGTCGCAGTAGGATTAGGGCAGGAATTTCCATTTTATTATGTTTGGAATCTAGCTCTTGCTAAATCCACATTCTTCTGGCTTAGAACCACTGATGCTTTCTTGTCTTTCCCAAATACCTGGAAGTCGGCTGTGAAGAAAGGAAGCAGTATGTTTAAAGGTTCCTAGAGAAGCTAATTATTTATGTCCCTCAAGATGAAACATTATAAACTCAAATCAAACAATATTTGCTAGCTGTGTTTCTTAAATATTCCCATGTTATGCGTGCTAACTGTGACCTACTGTGAGAATCAGCCATTTGAGCAGTAAAAGAAACTGGGACATACAGACTATTCTGAATTGAATTGAATGAAGTTGATTTCAACATTTAAAAACATAAAATAAAAGTTATTTAAGAAAAACATAAAATGTAAATATGTAAACATATACAACAGACTTTTAATAAGCAATATAAACTAACATGTTAACATGCATGGTACCTTGACAAACTCCTATTCAATAGTCATTCATACTAAATTACTCACACACTCTAACCCAGGGTGCGTTCCAAGAACTAAACAACGATATTCATCTTTAACATACATAATCAATAACGCTACCCAATCAAGAAAGTGTAAACACATTTTTTATAATAATAAACAAACCAATATTCCCTTATTTATGTACCTACAAAGTATATCTTTTTTTTAACTGCCTGATATATATATTTATTCATGTCAACTCCACAAAAATCACCCCTTAATTCGGTTTTTCCTTTTATTTATTCCAAGCTATTTTGGGCACCGTCTGACATGATGATAGCTGATGATGCCTAAAAGACAATAGATCTGTCTGGCTACTTGTGGTTTAATTCATCCTGATGTCTTTAAATCTCTGCCATTTCCAGACTGCCCATACTTCAAGGTGGGACCTTCACATTGCTGGCACCGTCCATGGCAATGCTGTCCATGCCGGAGTGGCAGTGCCCTGCTTGGACCCAAAATGCCAGCCTGGTCAACACCTCCTCCATAGAATTCACTGAAGTATGGCAGACTCGAATGAGAGCAGTAAGTGAACCATTATAAACACAACTCACTTTGTTTCACATGTAAAGGGCCTCTGGCAAGTGTTGAACATGAATGGTGTTGTACTAAAAACTAGAGCCACAACCTGTCTTATTCTTTTATCTTTTCTTTTTTCTTTTGCTGAACTATGAAAACACTCGCAAAATAAGCAAACCGAGTTCACAGATAGCGATATACTGTAAGAACTTAAAGGGGACCTATCATGCAAAATGCACTTTTGTACGTCTTTTATACATGAATATGTGTCCCCGGTGTTCCAGGGAACTCACCAAGTGTCAGAAAAACCAACCCTCTCTATTTTCCTCCATACCCAAATCTCTAAAAAAGGGGCTGCAACGGATCTGATACAGACTGATCCAGATTTGAACACTGTCCTGATGTCAGGACAGTGGCGCTACGGCTATTGGGCCAACTCCACCAATCAGGAGGAGACAGCCACGGCCATTGCCGTTCGAAAGCGCTGGAGACGCTGTAGTACATATGCCAGGCCTGTAGATGGTGCTGTTCTCACAGAATCTGCCCTTGCAAAAACAGAGCAAAAAAATGTCAAATTGAGCAAAATGAGGCATGGCTAAAATGCATGATCTGTTTGGTATTTTGAAAAAAAAAAAGTATAAATATGTCTTATATATATATGGTCCTACACTATATTATTCAAATATAGCATGATAGGTCCACTTTAATTCAACACCTCTAAACCAGATAAAGAAAACATCTTTCATATAACTTAAAGTGACACTAAGCAATTGTTTTGGTATAACTGACAGTGTTACGTGTCATGTGACCACTGTGAATGATCTGATTAATAAATGTAAATTACGCTTTATTTGTGTTTACAGTTTTGTCTGGATTTAACAGCTAGCACCTCAACAGACCAATATGCAATATGCTCCAGGCACTGTGGGCTTTGGAAGCAGTCCATGAGTTTTTCCTCCCCCATTACCAGTCAAAAATCCCCCATCAGAGACTTATAGACCAAGATAAAAAACATTAAAAGAAAAAATATATTATTAATACAGGGGATGATCTTAGAACAATTTCCTGGTCCTAAATGTGTTATTGTTTTTCTCTACACCCATCTTGTAACCCTATTAAATTATGTTGCAACCCCATGGGGTCTACATTGCCTAACATTTAAATATGATTAGATATGAGAACTCACTCAGATGTTGCTGCATATCATTTTTTTTCAGACTTTCTAGTTCAAGTTCTAAGGTTAAATATCTCTCAAAATAGTTTTTGGAATGACCAGCAATAGAAAAATATTATAATATAGTCATTTTAACTTTTCTTTGTGAAAGTGAAACGTTAAGAAAATACTTAATAAGGCATTGTTTTAAGGACTGTCCTGTGGAAATGAAATGATGTGTGGAATAAATAATTTGTTGTATCAGTTAATGTTGGCTGTGCTGGGACAAATGCTCATTGTTTGGACAAAACCCCCAAGCACAAGTCTTTGTTCAAATTCTGTTTAACAGTAATATTATGCCAGCTCCAACCCTTGACCCATGCAAAATGCTGATGTCGTCTTTCTTGTCTGTCCTCAGCTGCAGGGGTCCATTATGGTGGGCTCACTGTTCCAGGTGTTTGTAGGTTTCTCCGGCCTCATCGGCCTCTTCATGCGCTTCATTGGACCTCTGACCATCGCTCCCACCATCTCTCTCATTGGACTGTCCCTGTTTGACTCAGCTGGTACCAGTGCTGGCAACCACTGGGGCATCTCTACTATGTAGGTACAATTAAACAAATACATTAAAAAAAAAGTGATCTATGTAATCTGCAATTCTATATTTTTTTCTAATCACTGTTCTGATTATCTTGCATTTAATTTATTTCTTGTCAGTTTAGTAAAGTTAGTTCTTGGCTTAATGGGGTTTATGTGATTGTATTGCAGTCTTATAGGTTATGTTAAACTTGCTTCCTCCCCTGCATAGAGCACAGGGTATTACAAAATATGATGTCTTAATCTCTTGGCACACCAATAAAGTCTATTAAATAAATCCTTCCCAAAGAACCTGCTTAGTTGTTGCTGTAATTTGCTTTTTTGGTTAGAACTTAGCAACAATCTAGTTCAGTTCTGTATTATTTAACAATGTTAAATACTAATGTTTTTGTTCTTGTCTCACACAGGACCATAGCACTGATCATCCTGTTCTCACAGTACCTCCGTCACATACCTGTGCCATTCCCTGCGTACAGCAAGGAGAAAAAACTGCACACGTCCAATGTCTACGTCTTTCAGATTCTCCCTGTAGGTATCAAACACGTTCATTGAGATATATGAAGAAAACTGTTAGTTTAGTCTTTAGACCTTATCTTTTTTTGATTGTGTCCTCAGGTTCTTCTTGGAATCACTTTGTCTTGGCTCATCTGCTACATTTTAACAACATACAATGCGCTTCCTAGTGAACCAAGTCAATATGGCTACCTAGCCCGCACTGATCTAAAGGGAGATGTTATCAGCCAAGCTCCCTGGTTCCGTTTTCCGTACCCAGGTAAAAGCCACCATATAGCCAACTATTGCCTGAAGTTACTTTTTATTAATTAAAAGTTACTGGAAAATGAAAGTGTTGCAGGCTCTTAACACATTGTGTTGATCTCTATTTCCTTATGTTTGAATCCAAACATAGGTCAGTGGGGGATACCGACTGTGAGCCTGGCGGGGGTGATTGGCATCTTGGCCGGTGTGATTTCCTCCATGATAGAGTCTGTAGGGGACTACCACGCATGTGCCAGGCTCTCTGGGGCGCCACCTCCCCCTAAACATGCTATCAACAGGGGTATTGGCATTGAGGGACTGGGCTGTCTGTTGGCTGGAGCCTGCGGTACAGGAAATGGAACCACTTCATACAGCGAGAATGTTGGAGCCCTTGGTATTACAAAGGTAAGACCATAATGAGTATTTCTGGAAGTTCTTTAAAGAAAATGGCTCACTTGTAGTCTAGAAGGCCAAAGCCAAATGCCTTGTTTTCCAATTTTAACCAAAGTTGAAATCATTTCTTTATCTGTCCCATGGAGTTTTGGTGGCCAATGCAACAGACTACCAACACATTTCTCAAAAATACTGTAGGGCCAGAAGTGTTTCTGTAATCCTGCTGACAAACAAGCAGTCAAACGTATAGAACATATATGTAACAGTTGACGGTTTCAAAAGAAGACGTTTATATCTGTCTATTTCTTTTGCAGGTTGGCAGTCGCATGGTTATTGTAGCCAGTGGAGTCCTGATGGTTGTCATGGGTGTGTTTGGTAAAGTGGGCGCCATATTCACTACTATCCCATCCCCTGTGGTAGGAGGGATGTTCATGGTTATGTTTGGCGTCATCTCTGCAGCAGGAGTTTCTAATCTGCAGGTACTCATTCTAAAACATCATGGTGGCAATTTTGTATTGTACATACATTGTCGTAGATATTGCATGACAATAAATTCCTCTAATGTTTTTTTTTTTTTTACATATTTTCAGTATGCAGATATGAATTCTTCTCGAAACATCTTCATTTTTGGATTCTCCATGTTCTCGGGTCTGGTCATTCCTAACTGGATATTCAAGAACCCCACAGCTATTGCTACAGGTACATTAATAACATGTCATTATTCAATCTGCATTTTTCAGAAAAAGCATCATAAGGTTTTACTCAAACAATTTCCATTGTATTGTGTTTAGGTGTTGTTGAACTCGACCAGGTCTTGCAGGTTCTTCTGACAACCAGCATGTTTGTTGGAGGTTTCTTTGGCTTCATGCTGGACAACACAATTCCAGGTACTTTTTTTCAATTTCATTACATTATTAAACCCAGGAATAACCCAGTAAGTTATTGGTGTCTGGAGACATGATTATCAAATAGCTTGGGTTAGATTTAAAACAGGCTCACAGCAGGGAGACATTCACCGTTAAAATATGGCTTTTTTATAGCTTAAAGAGATTAAACAAATAAGCGTCAATAAACATCTTTATTTTATATACTTACGGCCTGAAGCCATTGTGTTCAGTAGTTTTAGGAATAGAATTTGAGACTGAATTTGAGTTCTAAAATAGTTCTAAAATGACTGTTTATACCGTAAGTTTAAACGTAAAGCATTTCCAAGCTTTATTAGAAAACAACCAAGCTATGTCAGAGAATAACACAAGTCAGCAATCTCATTCCTTCAGTAGACCGTGATAGAAGGGTTTAACACATTTAACACGTGTCCAACAGGATCAAAGCATGAACGAGGCATCCTGGCGTGGAACAAGGCTCACGAGGATGAATCCAGCAACACACTGGAGAGCGGAGAGGTCTACAACCTTCCCTTTGGCATCAGCTCTTACTTGTCTTCCTCCTCCTGGATCCGGTACATACCCTTCTGCCCTCCGATTGTGCCCGACTCCCTGGACGGAAGTGGAGCAGATACTAATGCCCTGGAGCCTAAGCAGCCACTTGGACATGCAGAGCCTTCACAGATTATTATTGGAGTTGCCATGTGAGTCCTGTACTCACTTCAGCATGCATTTTATGGATTTTCCCAGAAAACCATCAGAGGCAGATCAGTTTGGACATCCTGTCCTTTGTTAAAGACACTGTACTGTGACAACATGGTGGAATTCCACATGAACTTTGAAGTGACTTTTGCGAATGGCAATTGCATGACATTGGATACTATGTGGACTTTCTTTAGGGAGGAACTTAGGTACATGAGGTTAGTTTTATTACATATCTTTATTAATTGTTTGTGTTAAAAAGTTATGATATTATACACTGGATAACATATATATCATCTTGAAGACATTTTCTGTACAGTCATTTGTACTCACAGAGCATACCACTGGAGTGTAAACAATGATTTCTTGTTTCAATTTCTATGGTCTTCTCAGTCTTAGAATGCAATCACAGCCAGATGTTAGTGAACAAACACTGAAAAGACATATACATGTACTGTAAGTAGATCCATTGTATTGCTTTCAGCATTTTAATTCATCATGTTTGAATTAACTTTTCTGTGACAGTAAATTAATTATTATTTACTTAGTTGTATCATTATCTTACCATCAACCAGTTTTTATTTTACAGGTTTCTCTCTCAGTCTCCTGCTAGGACACAAGATAGTTCCAAAGCACATACCAGGCATATCCACTGATCTCCATGGATATTTATTTAACATGAATTGAACCATTATGTAGCAAAACCATTATCCGTTCAATTTGTCACTGTCAGATCCTGCTTGATTGCTTTGTACAAACTAACAAAAGAATCGGCCCATAAGCCTTGTTGGTGTTCAGTACTGGAATTAGCCATCCCCTGGGCGGTGTATATCAAGGTCAACAGGGTGCGTTCAAAATCGTCCTGATGTAGGTGACCAATGTGATTTGAAAGGCCAGAGATGAGCCTAAATACATCTGTTAGCTTCCTGGGAATGATCTCCTCACATATGACTTCCATATTTCTTGTCTTGCGGAGGGAAGCAAGCTCAGCATCTTGCACCGAAAACGCTCCACTGGCCTCAAAATGTGTGCCTGCCAGCAGGATCTAGAAGAAGAAATGATCAGTGTCAATCCTTGAGGTTTAGTCAATGCTTTTGCACTTTAAAATTACATTTCGGGACGTAGTCATCTCACCTCAAATAATAAATGAACATCATCAAAGGAATTGTGGAAGTTGGGGTTCACCAGACTTTCCAACCCTCGCTTTATTCTGCGTGAAGCTGGGAATAGTGCTGTTTGAAAAGAGAAAAAGACTGAGAATGAGATTGGTAGATAAGGGACAGTTTCTTTAGCAAACCCTTTCGTTCAGGTTTCACTTTATGCTTTTTTTTGGGATGATTTACTACTTAAAAGGCTTCTAGAACGTGTTAAGTTGGACATTCCTGTGACAAGCAGTTTAAACAAACTCTGTACTGCTCTGGCAGATGTGATATCCACGTGTATCTTGCCCTCACCAGGACAAACTGCAGTTAATATATAATATGCATTTCAAACTCTACGGTCTCTGACCTTACAGATGACTTCTATCTGCAGGAGACGAGACTTCAAAGCCAGCAGAGGAATCAAAGGCGGAGTAACACACAGATCATACAACAGGCTCCAGATGATTTTGGCATGCAGTGTATAGGGTTAGCATTTCAGCCTAATTTCCACAGCATGGGAAAGCAGGGTTTTAACCGCAACAAATCTTCCATGGACAAAGAAAGCTCACAGGCAAATACCTTTTCCTTTACTTGTTCCGGATTGGAGCAAGAGGAAAAATGAACCATGCACAGACTTGAATACTAAATACTCTGCAGTCACATCACTTGAAAAACTAACTATACAGAAACAGAGCTCCAAAGGAAACAGTGTTATGGATTCATTGGCACCTAGTGGTCAGGTTGCAGATACAACCAACTGAAAACTCTTACTCTTACCTCCTCACCCATTCATTGCAGTCATTTATACTAAGAGAACCTACGGTGGACTTCAGATAATTTAACAATGGAATCTTGAAAGTCATTAGAAGTAATTCCATGGGGACCATGAATGTGAGTATAATATATATTCTAAAAGTTGATGTAGTGCATGTGACGTTAACCCTTCGTCTGAACAAATGTTGGTAAAAAACAATTTACCTGGTAATGTTAGAGGAAATGTCAAGGAATCACCAAAGTCAGAGGGGTTGATCCTCTGGGGGAACATGAATTTCAACAATAATTGTTGAAGTGGCGGAACCACCGACCAATTGACAATACCTTTCATCAAGGTAAGGAGATTGGGGAAAGACAGAAAGAAATCAGACCACGGAGATATTTAGACAACTGTTTTCACTTACTGTCCAGTATCTCCAACATTCTTTGCTTGCTGGTTTTATTATTACGTGTAAAATCTGGAGCTCATGCAGTTAACATTTCAAATAGAGCATAGGCTTCAGGTTACAATTATGGGTTGATAAAAGGAGAACAGATGGAGGGAAAAATGAAAGGAAGTCATAAAGATATAAATGCAGACAGACAGAACGCTACCCTTTCATGCAGGTATTCAGACCAGTGCTAAAGGGACTGTGACTCAACTGTTCTGTGTTGATATCATTCAACCTGCCAACGTGCAGAAGTAAAGATGTAGTGACCAGCTCATAGAGTGTTTATTCTTTTTAAAACGAGAAAATAAAAGGAAACAGGAGAGAGGTTTTTGGAAGTTACTTAAGTAATCCATTAAATGTCTTAGCCAGAGTCAATTACCCAACTGCCAACCCTTTCGCTCTTGGCCGTGTCCTTGTTTATGTTAGGCTCAACAAGTGCAACAAGTTGATTTTAGGCAGCTGCATTATCACATTTTCCACACAAGGTTTACTTCTTATTTTTAGATAATGATCACAGATCTAAGTTCAATATAGCCAGTAAAGGTCTGCATTGATTTTTAGGATAATCATTTCTTTGAGTCCTCCAAACTACGCTAAAACATACAAACAAAATACTTGCTATATTTGACAAAGAAAACATCCAACATCTTCAACTAACGTTTAAGGAATCCAAATTGTGCTAATTGAAAGGCATTGCTGTGTGTTAATCATTGGGAAACAATTGGATTAGCCACTTCACACACGTCATTCATTGCCTTTATGCTGGACTTTTAAATGGTATTTGCAAAAGGTTAAACATAATGAAGACCATGAGCTCTCTTTGTTCAGATCACATGGTTCCAGTCAAACTCACATGCTTGTGATCCAGTTGGCCGTAAGAGGTAATTGTTTGGGAAACGTATCCACAAATCACTCAGTAAACTGCACACAGGGTATTTTATGTTCACAAGCTGAACTCGGTAAAGGTCCCCTATTATACTGTAGTTCATCATTATAGGTCTCAGATATATACAAAACATGTCTCTGAAGTGTTTGGCTCGAAATACCAAACAGATCATGCATTGCAGCATCCCATAATCCCCTCTGTTTCAGACCTGTTTCAAAAGTGCTGATTCTCTGTCTGTTACTTTAGATGAAAATAAGGTGCCACTCCCCACGCCCCTCTCATGCGGCTTTCACACCAGCGCTTTTCCCATTCTAGCTCCGTGCTAGAGCTTTTCCGGTTCAGCTCCGGTTTCCCTTTTCTGCTCCCGCTTTGTTCACACCGCCCAGAGCCCGACTGGTGCTGCCGCTGCTGCGTCATGACGTCACCGTTTACATCGCTGATTTGCTCCCCAACGGCGCTCACAACAACAACAACAACGGGGGACTGCGTCGGGTCGATGATCGTGTTGCTTTTAATCATACGAAGCCAGATTAAATTAAATAACGACTTCTCCAACCTTATACTTTTCTCCAGAGTGCCGTGGTTCATTGTTTATTAATGTGTTTCAGCGGCATTTACCGACCGCTGCAGTGCTGGCTGCTCTTCCACGGGAGTTTATTCTCCCGTTAGCTCCGGGTTAGCTCACACGGCTCTAAAGTATTCACTGTCTGACTGTCACACAAGCAGCTGATACATATCCCCAGTTCCCCTTAAGTGAATGTGTGTCAGTCTGAATTGACGCTGTTTGGCATCACAACGCTGTTATGAAAGTTTCTCTGGTATAAAATGGGTGATGTTAGCATAGCAACCGAAGCTACTTGCTATTGCTATCCTATTGTGGCATAAGCCGTTTTCTACAGGCACATTTTACCGGCGTATTTTTCATTATGATTCTACTTGTGATAGTCGGACATGACAACCTGTGCAGCCCATGTATTGATTCCATCCGATAGCTGCTATAATACAAAACAAAACGTCTGCCTGCTCTCCACAATGATCAATAACAGCGAACGGATGGTCAAAGTAAGGTACAAATAAACAGAATCACACGAAGCCTGGTTAGTGTTGCCTGACTTTATAAAGTGTGTTTTTTTTTATAAGTGTGTGGTTGCCTTCACAGTCGACCCATGTTCAGGGGAGGTGGGTTTAATTTCCTGCACGCCTCGACGTAAGAGAGACGTAAGCGACGCCGCGTCTTAGCTCCGGAGTCTTGCTTCTAGACCGACAATTTTTTGGAGCTGGAAATGAACCGGATTCCGGAGCTACAGTAAGAGGCGGCGCCGCTGCGGTGTGAAGAGGAAAAACCTGTACTTTTCAGGCTCTAGCTCCGAGCCGGCCCTGAAAACGCGTTGGTGTGAAAGGGGCAAGATATTTGGTTAAAAAGAACACAATGGTGCTCTAGGAGGAGATTCAGGTGATAAGGTGGGCGGTTGTTACCTTGGTTGCTGATTGGCTAATGGTTACACAAGTCAAAAAATCGTTATGACATCATAAAGTTGCCAAAATCTGTGGTTTTTATATAAATGGATCAGGATAAAAAGTGTGCGAATCTTTTTTCCTGGAACTTCCAGAATCCCTTTACACACAGGAGACACATGTTTATATATAAAATACATGAAAAAGTGGATTTAGCATAATAGGTCCCCTTTAAAGGTCCAAATATGACCTGGTGATTCCAGCCTTTTTACAATGTGTGTATGACGTGTTTCTCACTGTTGCTTGGATTTCATTTTTGGAATTTCACTT